CTTCAGGTATCAAAGGCACTAAATTTGAAACTACAAGTTCGAGTTTGGTACGAACTTCTGGTTCATAAAAGTGGTACATGTAAGAATGCAAAATACAATTACAACTAAAGTGTAATTTGGGTTGCTTGAGGAACTCAAGTGTAAGTAGCTTCAGGACTACGAAAGCATGTTAACAGTTCAAAGAAAAATAATAAAATATTGAATCATTAATAGTGGAACCAAACATGGTTGATCAAAACCAAACAGGGTTGATCGTGGAAACAAAGTAATGACATTGGGTCACACTACAAGAAAACATGGATTAAGTGACTGAATTTTTTGTGGTGCGTGAAATTCATCACATATAGGTAAAACAAGTGATGCTTTTTTAAAAATCGTCACTTTAAGATTTTTGGAGGACTCCAAAATATTTTGCACTTATACTTTTGGATTCGGCACAAAAAAGTGGGCAGGAAAGTTTACCCCCAAACGAAATTTTAGTATGTGACACAATGTTAAATTCATCACATAAGAAGAGGGAAGGCTACCTGGCCATTCCTGACATATAATATTGAATTAAAAATAAAAAATAAAAAATATAGATGCAATTGTCAAAACCCCCAAATAACAAAACCTATCCATTTATTCTCATTTCTTCCCAGTCTTCATCACCCGTTCATCTACTCCTTCACCCTGACTTCGATGACCAGCTACTTGGTGGTTGCCAACGACAGCGACTACCACCTCTCCTTCGTCTCCCTCCCTCAGCCATTCTCCCATGCTTTGATTCTCATTCACTAACTCTCTTATCTCTCTGACATAACAAGATCAAATTGGGGAAAGAAAAGTTCGATTTTTTCTCAAGTTCTTTCAGTTGACAACAAGTTACTTTGTTTCTCTATATTTCTTTAATTGTTTTTAGATTTTTTTTTTCTTTAATTGTTCCCCAGATTTTGATTTTTTTTGCTAAAGATCCTATTGCTGGTGAATTGTTCTTTGCTTCAAGTAGAGTTATACTGGCAGTGAGTTCTCTGTTCCAGTCTTGATTCTTCTTTACTCTTTGGAGTCAAATTTTGGTCTTGGTGGTTAATATATGTTTTTATATTTTTTCTTAATCCCCTGACTAAGTGTTATCTTTTTGTTTTTTGTTTTTGTTCAAAGGTTGGAAGTCTGTAACCATTAAGTTGCATGTTGTCTTTCTTGAGAAAGGTGTTGTCAAGAGTCAAGACTAGGTTCGCCTTGAAATTTTTTGGGTAGGGCCTACAGTGTTCTTAGTGTCGTTTCTTACTAGCTACTTACACTGGGAATTCTTTAGATGTGTACTTTCTTGTGTTTTGGCTGGCTGAAAAGGGGTGATGGTAGGAGATCTGGTAGTTGATAGGAGCATATTTAGGCGACTTACTTAGCTTGTTTTCGTGCATCTATGTTGTTAATTCATAGTTGTTTTAGTAGTTTAAGCCATTTTCGTGTGTTTTTAGGTTCATATGGCTAAGGAAGCAAAAAGATGCATTTTGGAGCATTTTGGAGCAAAATTGGGCTTGGAATGGATAGCATATGATTGGAGCCAAAGTGTTGGACGAATTTGAAGGCCTTGTATTCATTTTGGACATAAAACAAAGGGCCTAGCCCATTCTCTCTTAAACCAACCCCAAGGCCATGCATTTCCTTCCAATTCCAAAGCCCACAATCACTTCAAAAGCCATGCAAAGAACCATCCATTCCATAAAAAACAATCCATCAATTCACATGCAAAACCACCATTAACACACATGCACCCAAACAAAGCCAACCTAGCTAACCCTACATGCATTCTTTATGCAACTCTTCATCATTCCACCATTCATTCTTTATTCCACAAACAAGTCACATGCATTTCCACCTTCCTACTTCATCATTTCACCACATTCTCCCTCTTTAACTCATTTCATTATTCATTCACTTTGCATTCATTCAATTCCACCCCACATGCACCCTTTATTCTTCATCATTGCAACCATGGCACATTTACACCAACAAAACAACTCCCATGCCATGGCCTACTCATATTCCCATTTCCTTTCCAACATCTCACATGCATTTCCACCTTCCTACTTCATCATTTCACCACATTTTCCCTTTTATTTCCACATGCAATTCTTCATCATTGCAACCACAAACACCTTAAACAAATAGCCATATACATCTCCACTCCTCCTATAAATACCCTTGCATTCATTCATTCAAAAATCATCTCATTCACAACACAACACAACACCACAAACACATCCACCTTCCTTAGCCGTGAGTCTCCCTTAGAATCCAAAAACCATCTTCCATTTCCACCACTCCTCATCCATTTCCATAATTCCCCAACACTTCCATCCCCCCAACCAACTATCCCTAGACCTTATGCTACAATAAAGAGGAAGATAAGAGGGCCTAAACGTTCATACAATTCAAGATTGAGTTGTTGGAATGTTTAAGCGTTTCTTTGATTTCAATGTTTAATTTCAATTCTCTTTGTTTTGTAAGTATGAGGAACTAAACCCCCCTTAGCTAGGGGGTGATTCGAAATATATGTTTATGCTTGCAATATGATTTGATTACTTTTAATTACGTTTCATAAGTTGTGAATTCAATTTGTTTAACTATTTGATTGATATCCTATTTATGTATGTTTATTAAGAATGAACGCTTAATTTTCATGCATGAATTTGACGCTAGAATATAAGTGAGTTTCACATAATAGTTATGAACTTATATTCACAAGTAGTGGAGGTTGCTTATAAACAATCGCGTTAAACAAATTCTTGGCATAAGTTTCATGCAATCATAGTAACGAATGCCTCGTCAACACTTATAGTTTTCATGTTGCTTAATGATTCTTGCTTGTATCTCTATTATGCAATTCATGTAGGGAACTTGTGAGGAATGCTTTGGGTTGTCGTATGCAATCATCCAATTCATTAACTTAAGGAAAACTTGACGGTTAATTTAAGCGGACCTAATTAACCCGGGGCGTTGAGAATTCATGGTTTATTGAAATACAATTAGAAATCTTTTTATTATGCAAGTGTAACATGTGTGGATATGAACCCCTTGGCTAGCATCCATTCATTCCATTTCATCAATTTCATATTTACATTCTATCTAGTTTATTTACTTGTTTCGTTATTTCAATTTTTGTCCAAATCCAATCCCCCTTTATTTTGTTTAAGTCTTAGTCTTTCTTACTTTTAGTTTTGTATTCTTCGCATTAATTAGTGTTTTAAACTTGTTTTTACGTTTTTGAGTCAAAATCCAAGTGATTAACAATCCCTCCTAATCCCCGGTCCAGAACGATCCCTACTTATACACTTCACTACAATTGACAAAAAGAGGGTTTAATTTGTGTGCGTATAATTCACGCATCAGTAGTACATAAATATAAGAAATGATTAAAACTACTTACAAGAAGGCTTGGCAATTTATTTTCTTACTTGTGCTGAGTCTATTAAGTTGGTTACTTATCTTGTTTGCTCTTGTGTGTAGGTACTAGTTTATGACCCGTAGCTCACAACCTGTTCGTGAGCATATCTCCGACTTTGACGGTGATTTCGAGAGGACTTTGAGAAGAAACAAGAAATTGCAAGAGTCTAATCCTCTTAGTCCCGAACCTGAAGTAGAAAAGCAAGAAGTTGAGGTTGAAGAGGAGGCCACGACAAGGTTTGAAGAGGAAGTACCAACCATGGCAGCGGACAATCGAACCATCAAGGAGCTTTCTACCTCGGGTTTGGCCAATGCAGCCCCTCTTTGCATCCAATACCCTAGTGCAGCCCCTGAGAAGACCGATGAGTTTGAGTTGAAGTCCAGTTTGCTACATCATATACCCAAGTTCCATGGGTTATCAATGGAGGACCCTAATAAGCATTTAAAGGAGTTCGAAGTAGTATGCTCAAGTATGACACCGGTGAATGTGGACAGCAACATATTGAAGATGAAGGCTTTTCCTTTTTCTTTGTTGGAGAAGGCCAAAGATTGGTTGTATGAGTTGGTTCCCGGAACTGTCACATCATGGGAGAGTATGAAGCGAGCCTTCTTGGAGAAGTTCTTTCCGACATCACGAGTCATTCTTCTTCGCAAGAAGATTAGTGGAATTCAACAAAGCCAAGGTGAATATTTTCCAACTTATTATGAACGTTTTAAAACTCTTGTTGCTTCATGTCCACAGCACCAAATGAAGGAGGAGCTACTTCTTCAATATTTTTACGAAGGTCTTTTACCACTTGAACGGTAAATGTTGGATGCATCCGCGGGAGGAGCTCTAGTGGACAAGACACCCAGGGATGCCAAAACTCTCATTGCTAATCGAGCACTCAATGCACAACAATATGAAGGTGTTGGGCAAATAGACACCCCACGGCCACATCATGTAAATGAGGTAAGTTCTATTTCTGAGTTACAATCCCAAATGGCTAACCTTACGTCTATGTTGTCGCAGTTTGTTGAAGGCCCCAGAGCGCAAGGAGCTACAATCTGTGGTGTATGCTCCATTCAAGGACACCAATCTGATCAATGCCCTCAATTAATTGAGAATGGAGGGTGGGAATCTGCCAATGTCATGGGTTATGGGAATCAAAACCAACCAAGGGGTGATCCTTTCTCCAATACTTACAATCAAGGATGGCGTGACCACCCAAATTTTAGATGGAGAGATGCATAACAACCTGCCCAACAAAGTGGATTCCGACAACCCCCGGGTTTCTTTCCAAGGCCAATGGCACCACAACCACCTCCTCAAGCACAATCATCCCAAACCAACTCAGGTACGTCTATGAATGATTATAAAACATATCAATTATTAACCACAATGGCACAGGGAATGCAAAACCAAGCAAAAGAGGTTAATGAGCTAAAGAAGCAAATGGGACAAATGGCCGAATTTTTGGGACAATTTCATGAAAATGGTAAGTTACCAAGCACTACGGTGGTCAATCCAAAGGGTGGTTTCGAATCTGCAAAAGCTATCACCCTAAGAAGTGGAAAAGAAGTGGGAAGCAAAGCACATGAATCTGCCCAAAACAAGGAAGATGAGAAGATACAAATTGAAGAAGATGAGCAATCCTACCCCACGGCAAGTGTAACACCACCCAAGCCGCAACCATCTAAGCCTTCCCATCCGTCCATCTCAGGTAATGTTGTCCCAAATGTTGTGATTTCGAACACTAATCTGCCCAATGTTCCTTTCCCTCGCAGATTTGCACAATCGAAGAAGGAAGAAAGCGAAAAGGACATTTTGGATACCTTTCGAAAAGTCCAAGTAAACATTCCTTTACTTGATGCCATTAAGCAAGTGCTCAGGTATGCAAAGTTTTTAAAAGAGTTATGCACAACTAGGAAAAGAATTTCAAACAAGGAAGTTGTGAAAGTAAGTGAAAATGTATCTGCCGTTTTGCAACGAAAGTTACCTCCAAAGTGTAAGGATCCAGGGAGCTTTACTATTCCATGCATAATTGGAAACACTAGATTTGAACAATGCATGTTAGATTTAGGTGCTTCTATTAATGTCATGCCATATTCCATTTATGCATCTATGAACCTTGGTGAGTGATACGAGCATATTTAGGCGACTTACTTAGCTTGTTTTCGTGCATCTATGTTGTTAATTCACAGTTATTTTAGTCCTTTATGCTTCTTTTGTGTGTTTTCAGGTTCTAAGGGCAAAGTATGCAAAAGGATGCCTTTTGGAGCCTTTTGGAGCAAATTAGAGATTGCAATGGATTGCATATGCTTAAAGCCAAGTAGATGGACGAAATTGAAGATCATAACCATTCACTTATCACTTATCAAAACCATTCACTTATCACTTATCATAACCACAACCATTCACACCCTTTTAATCCACATGCACTCCCATCCATTTCATCATTGCAACCATTGCACATTTACACCAACAAACATCTCTTTGCCATGCCTTTCCCTTAGCCTAGTTGTTTTATGCCATTTTCAGATTTCCACCATTCACACACACATGCACTCACATGCATTTCAAGCACTAAACATTCTTCTTTGCCGTGCCTTTCCCTTCCACTTTCCAACCTTTCCAAATGCAATTTCATCAACACATGCATTCATTATTCATTCACCTTGCATTCCCTTTACATTTCAACCCACATGCACTTTAATCATTCAAACATGCAGCCACATAATCATTCACCCTATCCATTCTATGTCACAAAACAATGTCACATGCACCATCAAAACATCCTTTGCCATGGGCACCTATTGCTCCTACGCCATCCAATTCAGGTAAGGTTGTTCCAAAGTTAATTATTGCTAACCCCGTTCCACTGAATATCCCTAGTCCTTGCAGGATCATGCAATCCAAGGAAGAAGAGGGTGAGAAAGGCATCTTCGAATCGTTTCCAAAGAATCAAGAGCAAGATGTGACTGGGGAATGTCTAGAAGAGGATATACTTGAGGCAAACAACCCCAAAGAAATTGAATTTTATGACACAGGACAAGGACCAATCCTCACACCACATCTGGGCGAGTGCAAAGTCCCTGAAACGTTCAAAGAAGATGTGTTTATCCTTGAGTTCTTGTCGAAGCACACAGGTAAGCCGCCTCCCCGAATTTCAATTTTCTTTTATACTAATATGTTGTTAATGATCTAGGCACCCACTTTAGAATTTGAACCATTACCGGATCATCTCAAGTATCACCCCCCATTCAGAGATAAATTCCATGTCATGGGTCCTAAGTGAGCCTAAGAAGGTCTCGTCCGGCTGCAAGACGTAAAAGAAAGCGCTACTTGGGAGGCAACCCAATACAGTGAATAAAACAAAGCTTGTTCATTGATTTTTCGAGAAATTACAATTGTATCTAACAAAGAAAGAGAAAGATGGAGCCTTCACAAGTTGTGTACGTGAGGCCCCACTACGTGGCAACACTCTTGGAGCAGGAGGCATCGAAGCAGGAGGCATCGGAGCAGAAGGCATCGGAGCAAGAGGCATAGGAGCGGGAGGCACCGAAGATAGATCATTCAAGGCCCCAATCCTTGGTGGAACGCTGGATGACCCAGGAAAAAGGTGCCTCTGGAAGAAAGCTGCAAGCCTTTGACGGTCATCAAGCTCATCAAGCTTCCTCTTCATGCCTGTCGAATAATTATTAGCAAGCACGTGCAAACATCGGTTCTCGTACTTAAGCTGTTTGATCTCCTGCTTAAGACTCTCCACCTCCGCCATCAAGGATTCAACCTGACAGGAGCGAGCAAGAAGGCGTTGGCCCATGTTGGACACAGAGCCAGCGCACTGAACGCTAAGAGCCAAGGACTCTTGAACGGCTAACTCATCGGACCGTCCTGAAAGCAACTGACTATCTTTGGGAGTGAGGAGGTTCCGAGCTACTATCGTAGCCGTTGTTGCATCCGTCATCACAGAGTCCTCACCTGTAAGAGGGCCATGAGAAGATAAGAAAGACGGGCACCATACCTTATCCTGACGCGGCGCAACCGGATCATTGCTTAGACTCAAATCTAAGCAAATGTTCGATGGGTTAGATGAGCTAGCCATTTTTCAAGAAGTTAAAAGAGAAGGGTTGGATGGAGTGAAATCTCGACGGGCCGGAGACGATTTCTGGGCAATTTTCAGAGTGTGCATGATAGAGGTGATCGATCACCTCTATTAAAGGAGAGGCATTCACCGATTCAGAAATGAAGAGACACCACTCTTCAAAGCCGGATTTTCCGGCGTAAAGATCGCCAGCTCTTCAGACGCAATCCAGGATTTTCAGAAAGCGTGTGCCACTTTGTCAAAAGCTCCCGGCTTTTGGTAACTAAAGTGTTTTGATGCAAATTCGGAGGATTTTATCCACCATAACTTCAAATGTTGTTTCTTGCTGTTTTTAAGTGTGTTTAGTGTGTTTTGACTTAAAAATTCGAAAATTATATAAAAATTTGAAAAACATGTTTTGAAAAGCCTAAAAAGAGTGTTTTGAGTCGTTTTTGTGTCGTAGGTCACCTTCCAACACAATGATAAGGATTTGGTTTCTAATTGCATGACTGTTAAAAAGAGTTATAAACATAGAGAAAAGTTTGATTTACTCTTGGTATATGCTTGGTTATGGTTATAATGTATGACTTCACATGCAATCATAAAAGAAAAATTCGTTTTTGTAACATGCCTGAAGGAAGGAACTCAAACAAACGCTACAACCTTGAGAGACTTGAGCCTATAACGTTCTTTGGAGAGTATAATCTGTGATTTCTTGTTTTCTAAAGTCGTTGCATGATCTCATTATTCTTTGCTTGGTTACTACTTAAAAGGCGTTTCATCATATAGTTCCAAATGCTAGAACTCATGCCCATTTCATTCAAAGCATATTATTGATTTGCATAACATATATCAAGATGAAGTTGTGTAATTGCCACCATAGCCAAATAGCCTCACTTCCCATATTTCGTATATGTTGTAAGTTTTACCCCCGTTGAGTTTTGTTTAGCCTTTATTCTTTGTTAACCCACATTATCCTCACCTAGCCTAGTTTAGGACAATCCACACCCTTGTTCTTAAAAGATAGTGAGCATGACTTAAATGAATTCCTTTTGAGTTACATTATGCAAGAAAATGAGTGTGGGGGAAGGAATGCTTGTTTTTAAGTATGTTTGAGATTCAAAAGAAAAGAAAAACAGAAAAGAAAAGAAAGAAAGAAAGAAAAAAGAGCTTGAAAAAAATGAAAGAATGAGTGATTGAAGAAAGGGTTCAAAACACCAATTCTGGCCGTAAATTGTCTAAATTCTCCCTTTTTGTTCAAAAGTTGAGTTTTCATTCAAAAGTGAATTCTAAGTTGATTCAAGTGCTTTGCTCACTATTTCTTTAAGAACCTTTGTTTTCCATATCCCTTCTTTGTTATCCACACGCCCCGAACCCCATTACAACCCGTGACTTCAATCTTGAGTGTTATGTGTTTCAATTTGTGGAGTTTGAACTTGGTATGAGCATATGGTGTCACTGGTTCTCGCATCTAAGTGGTAGCATTCCATTCATGAGATCATATCTAAACATGCTTATTAACTCCAGAAATTGCTCTCTTTGTGATATATATATATGAGTGTTCGTTTTCATTAATCTTCTCACATATGACTAGATTAGGGTGTGTAGTTAGAAAATCTGAGTGAAAATCGAGTGCATATCTTGTAAGGAATTGAGCAAATTCTCTAAGGCATGTTACTACATTCAAAACATGGTTTTAAATGTTTAATTGTGAAATAGTATGTGGTGACTATGATTAAGAATGTACTTAAGTGTGAAGATGACTAAAATCTGTGAGAATGATGATTTTTAACATGTCATGTGCATTGGAAATCCCTAAGACGGTTGTTGGAAGGTTTAGGTTGTGTTTTACGTGTTTAGTGTCGTTTTGTTTATTTGTTTTTATTCTGTTTTGCTCGAGGACTAGCAAAAGTTAAGTGTGGGGGAGTTTGATAGGAGCATATTTAGGCGACTTACTTAGCTTGTTTTCGTGCATCTATGTTGTTAATTCACAGTTATTTTAGTCCTTTATGCTTCTTTTGTGTGTTTTCAAGTTCTAAGGGCAAAGTATGCAAAAGGATGCCTTTTGGAGCCTTTTGGAGCAAATTAGAGATTGGAATGGATTGCATATGCTTAAAGCCAAGTAGATGGACGAAATTGAAGATCATAACCATTCACTTATCACTTCCATTCACTTATCACTTATCATAACCACAACCATTCACACCCCTTTAATCCACATGCACTCCCATCCATTTCATCATTGCAACCATTGCACATTTACACCAACAAACATCTCTTTGCCGTGCCTTTCCCTTAGCCTAGTTGTTTTATGCCATTTTCAGATTTCCACCATTCACACAGACATGCACTCATATGCATTTCAAGCACTAAACATTCTTCTTTGCCGTGTCTTTCCCTTCCACTTTCCAACCTTTCCAAATGCAATTTCATCAACACATGCATTCATTATTCATTCACCTTGCATTCCCTTTACATTTCAACCCACATGCACTTTAATCATTCAAACATGCAGCCACATAATCATTCACCCTATCCATTCTATGTCACAAAACAATGTCACATGCACCATCAAAACATCCTTTGTCGTGGCCCTTGCATATTCATCCCATTTTCAGCCATTACACTCCTTCAATTCAGCCACCATTCATTCTTTATTCCACATACACTCATCATCACACACCCTAGCTATCATTCACATGCATTCACATGCATCACAACCCCAAAACCATCAAGAAAACACCCTTGCCGTGGCCTTCACTCACACTTCCAGCTTTCCACCTTGCATTTCCAGATTATTCCTTCATCATTGCATCCATTCCACATGTATTCTTCATCATTGCACCACAAATCAGCTCATCCCACACTCCATGCCGTGGCCTACCTCCCATTTCCAGCTTTCACATGCCTTCAAATGCATTTCCAGCACATCTTTTGCTTTACATCTCCACAAACACATGTATTTACACCCAAAAATCCCCTTTACCGTGGCTTTCACTCCTATTTCCAGCATCTACACACTCATTTCCATCCATTGCACATGCTTTCCAACCTAACATTCACCCACATGCACCCTTTAAACAAACCCAAACATGCAGCCACAGAAACTCCACCCTTTGCCGTGCAAATCATCACCATTCCACTTTCCAACCTAGCCACATCCACATGCATTTAATCATAATCATTCACTCACCTTGCAGCCACATTTCCACCCACCTCCTAGCTGTCATGTTCCCCCTTATTTACCTATAAATAAACACCTCATTTCATTCATTCAAACACATCTCATTTCATACACAACACCACATCACAAACACATCCACTTCTTCCTAGCCGTGAGTCCCCATTCCCTTATAATCCAAACACCATTCCTCATCCATTTCCATAATTCCCCAATCCATTCAACACACCAACAACATCCCTTAGACCTTGTGCCACAATAAAGAGGAAGATAAGAGGGCCTAAACGTTCATACAATTCAAGTTTGAGTTGTTGGAATGTTTAGGCGTTTCTTTGATTTCAATGTTTAATTTCAATTCTCTTTGTTTTGTACGTATGAGGAACTAAACCCCCCTTAGCTAGGGGGTGATTCGAAATATATGTTTATGTTTGCGTTTTGATTTGATTACTTCTAATTGCGTTTCATAAGTTGTGAATTCAATTTGTTTAACTATTTGATTGATAACCTATTTATGTATGTTTATTGAGAGTTCACGCTTAATTTTCATGCATGAATATGACGCTAGAATATAAGTGAGTTTCACGTAATAGTTATGAACTTATATTCACAAGTAGTGGAGGTTGCTTATAAACAATCACGTTAAACAAATTCTTGGCATAAGTTTCATGCAATCATATTAACGAATGCCTCGTCAACAGTTATAATTTTCATAGAGCGTAATGATTCTTGCTTGTATCTCTATTATGCAATCATGTAGGGGACTTGTGGGGAATGTTTTGGGTTGTCGTATGCAATTATCCAATTCAATAACGTTAGGAAGATTTGAAGGTTAATTTAAGCGGACCTAATTAACCCGGGGTGATGAGTTTCATAATTCATTGAAATGCAATTGGAAATCTTTTTATTATGCAAGTATAACATGTGTGGAGATGAACCCCTTGGCTAGCATCCATTCATTCCATTTCATCAATTTCATATTTACATTCTGTCTAGTTTATTAACTTGTTTCGTTATTTCAATTTTTGTCAAACCTCAATCCCCTTTTTGCTTTAATGTTCAATTTAGTTAGAAATCAATTTAGTTTGTGTTTTTAAAGCATTTTGAGTCTTTTGGTTTGTCTTAGTGTTTTAACGTTTAGTTTCACATTCTTTGAGTCTAGTTTAGTGTTTTATATTGTTTTTACGTTTTTGAGTCAGTTTCCAAGAGATTAACAATCCCTCCTAATCCCCGGTCCAGAACGATCCCTACTTATACTTATACTACAATTGACAAAAAGAGGGTTTAATTTGTGTGCGTATAAATCTCGCATCAGTGAGTTAAAACAAGATGGCGTTATAATTTAATTGGCCGATCGTTCTAACGCTTATCCCAAGGGAGTCCTTGAGGATGTTTTAGTGCAGGTCAATCATCTTATTTTTCCTGCAGATTTTTATGTCTTAGAAATGGAGGATTCGAGCCATACTCCATCATTGCCAATCTTGCTAGGCCGTCCATTCATGAAAACAGCGAGAACAAAGATAGACGTGTTTACGGGAACATTAACCATGGAGTTTGATGGGGACATTATTAATTTTAATCTTTCTGAAACCATTAAATATCCAATTGAGGACCATTCTTGTTTTGCTATTGACATTGTGGATTCGTTGGCACAAGTGCATTTGGATCAAATGAGCGAAGATGCACTCGATGTAGCCTTAGTGCACGACATAGGAGCAAGAAATGAGGGTGGGGGAATTCTTGCAACCTACGGCATGCAATCTGACCATATCGCCGTGCCCGCTTGTGGTGAAGTGATTGAAATGGTTGCTGCCCTCGAGTCATTGCCCTCACACTCTGGTAAGTCTCCACTCTCAATTTTGGATTCGGTTTTGACTAACAAGTTACTTCCATCAATTGTGCAGCCACCTACACTTGAGTTAAAACTTTTACCTAGTCACTTGAAGTATATTTTCTTGGGAGAAGATCAAACACTACCCGTCATCATATCAAGCTCACTCACAGCCCAAGAAGAAGACAAGTTGATAAGGGTGTTAAAGGAGCACAAATCTGCCATTGGATGGACCTTGGCGGATATCAAAGGCATTAGTCCCACCACGTGCATGCATCGCATCCTTTTGGAGGAGGGAGCCAAGCCATCTCGTGAAGCTCAACGTCGCCTTAATCCACCCATGTTGGAAGTAGTGAAAAAGGAGGTTATAACATTGCTTGATTGTGGTGTTATATATCCTATTTCTGATAGTCGTTGGGTGTCACCTGTGCAGGTTGTTCCAAAGAAGTCCGGAGTCACGGTGGTGAAGAATGAAGAACAAGAGCTTATACCCACTCGTGTTGTGACCGGTTGGCGTGTTTGTATTGATTACAGGAAGTTAAATGCCATGACAAGGAATGATCACTTTCCATTGCCATTCCTTGACAAATGCTAGAAAGGTTAACCGGTTATAAATTTTATTGCTTTCTTGATGGATATTCCGGATATAACCAAATTGTGATAGCTATGGAGGACCAAGAGAAGACAACATTCACGTGCCCCTTCGGCACCTTTGCATATAGGCGCATGCCCTTTGGTTTGTGTAATGCCCCTGCGACATTTCAACGATGCATGGTGAGTATATTTTTTGATTATGTGGAGAAAATTATTGAGATATTTATGGATGACTTTAGCGTGTTTGGTAATTCATTCGATCATTGCTTGAATAATCTGACCTTAATTTTGAGACGTTGTGTTGAAACGAATCTTGTGCTTAATTGGGAAAAATGTCACTTCATGGTTAAGCAAGGTATTGTTCTAGGACATATTATTTCTGAAAAAGGCATTGAAGTGGATAAATCTAAGGTAGACCTTGTTCGTCACTTACCCTCTCCAACTTCGGTTAGAGAGGTTCGTTCGTTTCTTGGTCACGCAGGTTTTTATAGGCGTTTCATAAAGGATTTCTCCAAGATTGTGCAACCACTATGCCGATTGCTTCAAAAAGAGGTGGTTTTCAAGTTTGATGATGCATGCTCCATGGCATTCAAGCACTTAAAAGAGGCTCTCACTTCGGCTCCCATTATCACACCTCCAGATTGGAGCTTTCCATTCGAGTTGATGTGCGATGCTTCGGACTATGCAATTGGTGTTGTTTTGGGGCAGCGAAAGAACAAACAACCTCATGTTATTTATTATGCATCTAGGACACTAAATGATGCTCAATTAAATTACTCAACCACTGAAAAAGAATTACTTGCTGTGGTATTTGCATTAGATAAGTTCCGATCCTACTTACTTGGTACTAAAGTTATTATTTTTACTGATCATGCAGCTTTCAAGTATTTGCTCACGAAAAAGGAGGCCAAGCCTAGACTAATTCGATGGATGTTGCTTCTACAAGAGTTTGACATTGAGATTCGGGATAAGAAGGGCGTGGAGAATGTGGTGGCTAACCACCTAAGTCGAATGGTGCATGAGGAAGCATCGCCAATTTCTGAAACCTTCCCCGATGAGCAATTAATGTCTATCCAGGTAAGTGAGCCTTGGTATGTAGATTTGGTGAACTTTTTAGTGTCTAAACATACCCCTAGCACACTTAATAGGAATCAACGTGATAAGCTTAAAAAGGATGCTAGGTTTTATGTTTGGGATGACCCATACCTTTGGAAATTTTGTCCCGATCAGATTGTAAGACATTGTGTGAATGAATCTGAGTTTCAATCTATTTTAACATTCTATCATTCATATGCATGTGGGGGACATTTTGGCACCCAATGCACTGCCCTGAAAGTCTTAGAATGTGGGTTTTATTGGCCAACCATTTTTAGAGATGCTAGGATATTTTGCCTTACATGTGATCGTTGTCAACGAATGGGTAATATAAGTGTTAAGGATCAAATGCCACAAAACCCTATACTTTCTGTTGAAATATTTGATGTGTGGGGAATTGATTTTAAGGGTCCTTTTCCTTCATCACATGGTTTTCTCTATATCTTGTTGGCGGTGGATTATGTTTCCAAATGGGTGGAAGCAAAAGCCACCCGGAGTAACGATTCTAAAGTGGTTACAGATTTTGTGAAGTCTAACATTTTTGCTAGGTTTGGAATGCCTCGAGTCTTTATAAGTGATGGAGGTTCACATTTTTGTAATCGCACGATCGAGGCACTGCTCAAGAAGTACAACGTTACACATAGGGTTTCGACACCCTATCATCCTCAAACAAGCGGGCAAGCCGAGGTGTCGAATCGGGAGATAAAACAGATTCTTGAGAAGACGGTTGGGCCAACAAGAAAAGATTGGAGCTTGAGGTTAGAGGATGCATTGTGGGCGTATAGGACCGCCTACAAAACACCCATAGGAATGTCCCTCTTTCGGCTTGTTTATGGCAAACCATGTCACTTACCTGTGGAGTTGGAGCACAAGGCTCATTGGGCCGTGAGGAAGTTCAACATGGATGTAGATGAGGCAGGAATTCATCGTAAGCTTCAATTGAATGAACTTGAGGAAATATGGAATGAAGCTTACGAGAATGCCCACATTTACAAGGAAAAGACAAAGGCCTTTCATGATAAGATGATTCGCACCAAGGCATTCTCTGTTGGACAGAAAGTGTTGTTGTTTAATTCTCGTCTTCGTCTATTTCCGGGTAAGTTACGTTCACGTTGGATTGGACCCTTTGTTATTACTAATGTTTTTCCTCATGGTGCAGTCCAAGTTCGTAGTTTCAAAATAGGTCAAGAGTTCAAGGTGAATGGGCATCGATTGAAGCCTTACTACGAGAGCTTTGTGGAACATAATGTGGGGGAGACAACCCACTATGCCATGGGTTCCCATGAAGGTTGATCAATGTGGCATCGTCCGGCTGCAAGACGTAAAAGAAAGCGCTACTTGGGAGGCAACCCCATACACTGAATAAAATAAAGCATGTCCGTTGATCTCGGAGAAATTACAAGTACTTCCAAAAAAAAAAAAAAAAAAACAAGAAGAAAGAAAGATGGAGCTTTCACAAAGGTTGTTTACGTGAAGCCTCACTACTTGGCAAAACTCCAGGAGCGGGAGGCATCGAAGATAGATCATTCGAGGCCTCAATACTTGGTGGAACGCTAGATGACGAAGGAAAAAGGTGCCTCTGGAAGAAAGCCGCAAGCCTTTGACGGTCACTTTGAATTCGACCTTCAGATTCTTGTAGCTGATCAAGCTTCCTCTTCATGCTCGTCGAATAATTATTTGCAAGCACGTGCAAACCTCTATTCTCGCGCTTAAGCTGTTTGATCTCTTGCTTAAGATTTTCCACCTCCGCCATCAATGATTCAACTTGACGGGATCGAGCAAGTAGGCGTTGGCCCATGTTGGACACAGAGCCCGCACACTGAACACTGAGAGCTAGGGACTCTTGAACGGCCAACTCATCGGACCGTCCTGAAAGCAGCCTACTATCTTTAGGAGTGAGGAGGTTCCTAGCTACTATCGTAGCTGTTGTTGCATCTGTCATCACGGAGTCTTCACCTGTAAGAGGGCCATTAGAAGATAAGAAAGACGGGCACCATACATTACCCTTACGCGGCGCACCCGTATCACTGCCGAGACTCAAATCTAAGCAAATGTTAGATGGGTTAGCCATTTTCAAAGATGTTAAAAGAGAAGAGTTGGATGGAGTAAAATCTCAAAGGGCTGGAGACGATTTTCACGAATGGGCAATCGTCAAAGTGTGCATGTTAGTGGTGATCGATACCTCTATAAAAGGAGAGGCGACACAACCACCGATTCCAAAAAATTGAAGAGACACCACTCTTCAAATCTTAAAAGCCGGATTTTCCTGCGTAAAGTTCGTCAACACTCTTCAGACACAATCTCGACTTTTCAGATAACGCGTGCAACTTTGTCAAAAGATCTCTGACAAAGTTGAAAACGCGTGGAGGTCATTATCCCAACTACACACTTTTGCCGACAAGCGTGGGTGACAAAGCCGCAATCTCGGCTTTTCAGATAACGCGTGCAACTTTGTCAAAGATCTCACACTTTTGCCGACAAGCGTGGGTGACAAAGCCGCATCCGCACTACTACTTGCGATTAAAATTCCTATATACATCAACATTCATGGCAAGGCATACATCCAAAAACGCATGACTTTTGTTCTCGCCCGAGAATGTAGCTGCAACCAAACCTCTCAACATGCTCAGTTTTCTTCTTCCCTTGAGAACACCTATTCAACCATTGATGTACCCCCAAAGAAGATACCAGATGCTTGGAATACAGATAAGGCAGGAGGAAACGGTAGATCGAAGCATGTGGAGACAAGCGCAACAAATATATGTGCTGATTCATTCGCTGCTTCTTCAAAAGCAAAAGTATCTCATATCATCAAGGGAGAAAGCAAAGGTATCTCATATCATGCTCTTTCCCTGTCTTTTCCTTTGTCCTTGTTCTTACTCGCATGGCAAAGAGAAAGAGAGCAATCAGCCGGCACTTGGAGTCAGTCTTTCGATCTGGAACCAACTACCTGGAATCTATTCCCTGGTTGCTTATCTAGCGTTGCTCTCGAGTAGTCATCTTCAACGGTTGATACACTTCCAGAGAAGGGACCACTTCTGCTTGGAGAACAGCTAAGACGAGTGACAATGAAACATCAATCTTGTGGATCGTCAGCAAATGCAACAACTGCATATGCTGAGTTATCCTTTAACCATCTTCAATACGAATTGGAAAGATTGAACAAAGAAACAGGTCATCACCTCCACCTCGTGCTTGCCTGCCATGTGTCTGAATTTTGAAACCGCCAATGCAATCACCAAGGAGAAGATGGAATTTACACTCCATAACCAGATTTGCGTCCCTAAACTCTTCTCTTTGTTATTTACATTCTACCATGTTTAGTATGTTTAGTTGTTGTTTATGTGTTTACTGTTGTTTGGTGTGATTTTAGGCTTAAAACATTGAGGACAATGTTTGATTGAAGTGTGGGGGGGTAACTAAGTATGTTGATGCAAATTCGTGGGATTTTATCACCCATAACTTCCAATGTTGTTCCTTGCTGTTTTTAAGTTTTTTTTTTTAAGCTATTTTAGAAATCCGAAAATCCCAAAAAGAGTTGTTTTTGTGTGTTTGTTTGTGTCGTAGGTCACCTTCCAACACAATGATGAGGATTTGGTTTTTAATTGCATGATGGTTAAAGAAAGTTACAAACATGGATGGACGTTTGATATACTCTTTGGTTTATGCTTGTTTGTAGTTATAGTTTACGAATTCACATGTAATCACAAAGAAAAAAATTAGTTTTTGTAACATGCTTGAAGGAATGAACTCAAACTAACGCTACATCCCGGTGAGACTCGAGCCTAAATGTTATTTGGAGAGTTAAAATCTGTGCATTAATGTTTTCTAAAGTCGTTGCATGATCTCATTATTCATTGCTTGGTTACTACTTAGAAGGTGTTTCATCACTTAGTTCCAAATGCTAGAACTCATGCCCATTTCATTCAAAGCATGTTATTGATTTGCATAACACATATTCAAGATGAAGTTGTGTAGTGACCACCATCAAAGCCAAAAAGCCATGTGCCCTTAACTCATTTTGTGTTTAAGTTTAACCCCATTGAACCGTGTTAGCCCATGTTCTTTGTTAACCCACATTATCCTCACCTAGCCTAGAATAGGACCATCCTTACCCTTGTTCTTGAAGCATAGTAAGCAATGAATTCCTTTTGATTAAGGTGTTGCAGAAAATAAGTGTGGGGGAAAGAGTATTTATGTGAGTTGATGTGCCATAGGCACGGCTAAAAAAAAAAAAAAAAAAAGAAAGAAAGAAAGAAAGAAAAGAAAAATGAAAAAAGAGTTGAAAAGTATTGTTTGTTGAAATAAGGGCCCTAAGAGTTGTTGAATCTCCCCCTTATGTCTAAAAGTTGATTTCTGCATGCCAAGTGAATTCTAAGTCTTAATTTCATTACTTTGCTTGCTATTGTTTAAAGAACCTTTGTTTATCCCTACCTTTCCTCGTGAGCCAATACCCCAAGCCCCGTTACAACCCTTGACTTCTATCTTGAGTGTTGTGCATTTCAATTGTGGAGTTTGAATTTGGTATGAGCATATGGTGTCACTGGTTCTCGCATCTAAGTAGTAGCATTCCATTCATGAGATCATATCTAAACACGTTTAATTACTCCAGAAATTGCGTTCCTTGTTATAACATATGTGAGTACTAGTCTTTCATGTTTACATCAATCTTCTCACATATAACTATTGTAGGGTGTATAGTCAGAAAATCTGAGTGAAAATAGAGTGCATAACTAGTGAGGAATTGAGGGAATTCTCTAAGGCATGTTACTACATTCAAAATGTGTTTTAATTGATTAAATGCGAACTAGTGAATGATGACTATGATTAAGTATGTGCTTGAGGGGAAGGAAGACTAAAAGCTATGTGAGTAATGATCTTTGACATGTCATGTTTCATTGGAAATCCCTGAGGCAAACGTTGGAAGGTTTAGGTTATGTTTTGTCTGTTTTGTTTCGTCTTGTTTACTTTAGTTGTTTTGTTTTGCTCGAGGACTAGCAAAAGTTAAGTGTGGGGGAATTTGATAGGAGCATATTTAGGCAACTTAGTTGGCTTGTTCTTGTGCATTTACATTGTTATTTCTTAGTTATTTAAGTCTTTTAAGTTATTTTCGTATGTTTTCAGGTTCTAAGGGCTAAAGGAGCAAAGAAGTGCATTTTGGAGCCTTTTGGAGCACTTTTGGGCTAAGGATGGATAGTTTATGCTTGGAGCCAAAGTGTTGGACGAAATTGAAGGCCTTGTATGCACTTTAGGACATAAAACAAAGGGCCTAGCCCATTCTAACACCATTGCCCTGCATTCCCCTTCCAATTACAGCTTTCCCACTTCATCATTCCAGCCACATGCTTTCCCATTTCAATCATTCACCCTAGTTGGCAGCCACATGCTTTCCCATTTCAATATCATTCTTCCAAAAACAATCAACCACATTCTCTCTTAAATCTATCCTTTGCCGTGCATTCCCCTTTCATTTCCAGCTTTCCCACTTCATCATTGCAACACATTCTCTTCCATATTCCCTCTTTAATCCATTGCAGCCACCAATCACCTTAGCTGTCACTCACATGCTTTCCCATTCTATAATTCACCCACATGCTCTCCCATCATCATTCCCTCTTTAATCCATTCAGCCACATGCTTTCCCATTCTATATTTCAGCTCCATTCTCTCCCATTTCTCTTATAAAACCATGCATTCCCTCACCAACAAGGAGGAACCCGTGCATAACCCTCAATTCCAGCCACTTCCCTTTTGTGCCGTGCATAATATTCCATTTTTCAGCATATAGTTTTCCCCCATCTTGGCAGCAGCACTCCCCATCCCTCCAAAACACTACCCTACCATCACACATCCATTCCTCCATACAAATACCACCCCAAAACCTGTCCTTAGACCTTGTGCCGCAACAAAGAGGAGGAGAAGAGGGCCTAAACATTCATGCAATTCAAGTTGAGTTGCTGGAATTTTTAGGTGTTTCCTCTCCTTGATTTCAATGGTTAAATTTACTTATCTTTGTCTTGTACGTATGAGGAACTAAACCCCCTTTGGCTAAGGATGTATTTGAAACCATGATTATATATGTGAAATAAGTTGATTACTTCCAGTTATCGTTGCATAAGTCGTGAATACAATTTGCTTAACCGTTTGATTTAGAACTTATTCTTGTA